TTCCATGGCGGTTTGTATGGCCATCATTTTGTCCGACTACGTGAACCTTTCGCACTACTCTCTTATTCTCTACTACCGGACTTGTTGTCACGATAGCTGTGGCTGCATCGTCTTCGACTTGGATGTGCTCATTGATGCGCTGCATTAGTTGGCCTATGGATGTCGACTGGTTCATGGTAAGCGAGTCCCGCAGCCTATGTCCGACCGGGAGACCGCGCTTATATTGGGTGATTGCCAGGTTGATCGGGCAATTTAAAATCTCATTGAAGGTTTTCCAGTATCTGGAGTTGTATGCCTTGAGTGTGTTGCTCGACTCCATTTTGACACTGAGAAGGTGGTCCACCTCCTTTGGCGTTTTAGTGTTGGTCTTGAAACGAGTCACAAGGCTTCCGCCAACTGCTACCACCTTTCGATGCTTCCCTCCGGCAGCCTCTTAAACCATTTCAAGCCCAGCTCGCCCAAACTCGACGGGAAGATAAGGCACATAAGAGTGTCATTGCGCCTATGTCCGGCCATGACCTGTCGGAAGTGGCATACATGCATGTATGGATCGGTCTTTCCGTCGTAGAGCGTAAACTTGGGCTGGTGAAAGCCCGCGGGGAGCGGTGTGGTTTCTATCTCAAGGGAGAAGGGGGTGGCGTTCGGCCTCGCCAAATCTGTGTCTAGAGGGACAGGCACGGCCGGGCGAGGTGGCGGCATTATGACCTCCTCACTGGCGTGACCCCCATAAGATAACCGCTGGAGCGCCGGCACCCTTTCGGCCTCCTGTCGGCGAGCTCGCTCCTTCAGGACATCCTTCAAGTCCTTTGAACAGATGGAGTAAGAATATCCCGAAGTGGTCGCCGGACGTGAGGGATGGTAGGTACTATCTTGCGCGCTAGACTTCTCTAGGCGTGTCTAGGTCTCCACCCCTATAGCTTCTGGTGATAGAAAGGGAGGGAGTGCGCCGCTGGCTTTGGCTGCCTGAACGGCGGGGTTGGGTGCCCTCACTGTGGTCTCTCACTCCAGCAACACCCTTCCCTTTGACCTGGCGTTTGAGAGCTTCCATCTTTGCCGCCATTCTCTGGATGACAGTGTCTTGGTCCCTTAACTTGTGCTCAAAATGTCTAGCGTGCGATTCTCTTCGCCGCCGGTGTCCGTTTGGGCTCCGTGAATGACCAAAACTTCCACCGCGCTTATCTCGCGCATCTCTTGAATGTCCTCCTGGGGAAGTCTCCAGGTCTGCCATGTTCTGAATGGCGGGGAGTCCGTCTCTCCATCTGGCTGATTCTGGGGTAACACCGTCAATGGCAGACAATGGTATTTCGTCGTTGTTCGCCATTGAAAGCAATCAGATGAGCTTGGAAGACAAGGTTTTGCCTGTTGTACTCTTCCCACAGACGACGCCAATATAAAGCCATCGGTCCCCGTGCCTTGCACATATTGTTCGCTTTGGCATTCCGACCGCACGGTTTTGTTCCTCTCCCACTGGGGGAAAAGGCCTTGCATGCAAGGTAAGAGGAGCCAGCCTGCTTATAAGGTGGGAAAGTAGTCCCTCACAGACTGATGTGAGATTTCCCCGCACATTAGCCCCCAGCTGCATTGGCTCCGGTCACCCCGGAGGGGGTTCCCACAGACGGCGCCAAAATAAAGCCACTGGTCCCCGTGTCTTGCACATATTGTCCGCTTTGGCATTTCGACCGCATGGTTTTGTTCCTCCCCTACTGGGGGAAAAGGCCTATGCAAGGTAAGAGGAGCCAACATGCTTATAAGGTGGGAAAGTAGTCCCTCACAGACCGATGTGGGATTTCCCCGCACATTAGCCCCCAGCCGCGCTGGCTCCGGTCACTCCGGAGGGAGTTCCCACAGACGACGCCAAAATAAAGCAACCACTCCCCGTGCCTTGCACATATTGTCCGCTTTGGCATTCCGACCGCACGGTTTTGTTCCTCCCCCACTGGGGGAAAAGGCCTATGCAAGGTAAGAGGAGCGAGTCTGCTTATAAGGTGGGAAAGTAGTCCCTCACAGGCCGATGTGCGATTTCCCCGCACAATGACAATGAAGGAAATAACTTGGATTTTGAAGAAGATGAAGAGAGTGTTTCTTCAGCTACTGCTTCTTGTAGTGCCGATAAGCCCTCAACAACAACAGACAAATCTGCCGAGGATCTTCTGAAAGGTTTTTCATCGCCTTCTCTTTCTTTCTTTTAATTTTTTTTTTTTAATGTTTTGGTTGAAATTCATTGGCTTCAAAAAGGTGCAAATCTGGAGCATTATACAATCTTTTTGGAAGATTTATTTATGTTGTTTATTAGAAAAGAAAGAAAGAAAGAAAAGTTTCTCTGAAAAATTTCGAGCTTCTGTTATTGATGATTATCTGTTGTTAGAACTTAGAAGTGTGTCTGAGTGTTGGCTATATAATCTTGGAGAGACTGTTTCATGTATACCAAATTTTTTTTTGCAAGATTTAATGTATAAAAATATAGAGAGAATTGTATTATTGATAGATTGTATTGAATTGTTTATATTACAATTACAAGGATTCCTATTATATAGGAGTGTGTTTGGGAGTAGGTGGAGAGGTGGAGTAGGTGAAGTGGAGGTGGTAGTGGTGTAGTGGGTTAGGTTTAGTGGAGAGGTGGAGTAGGTGAAGTGGAGGTGGTAGTGGTGTAGTGGGTTAGGTTTAGTGGAGTAGGTGAGGTGGTAGTGGTGGTAGGTGAAGTGAAAATTTTAACATTTTTTTAATCTTTGTACCCAATAAAAATGAGAGCATATTAGTAATCTTCCTGTAAAAAGTTTACTTTAAAAAAAAAAAAAAAAAAAGCAGTATCGTTATATTATATGTTAGTGTGGAGGATTTTATTTGAGAAGCAATGGGGTTGCCTTCATAAAAAATCCAGCATCAAATGCTTTACGCTCAACATATTCAAAAGAGGTGTTTTGTGGTGCATATAGTGATTGGCCATAGACAATTTAAACACCCACTGTTGATCCCTGGAAAAAATTACAGGTAAAAAAACGACCAATAACTTTGTCCTGTTTTGAAATGTACGTGTTCCCACTTGTCACCATTTATGACCTAAATTTTACATGGACTTTCCTAATCACTGGATTTTGTAATAATCACATTCAATGCATTTTGTGGCTTGCTTTTGTTTTGTGTGTTTTTTTTTTGAGTGTGTGGTGCACCAAAGCATGTTTCCTCATCCTACAAAAGAAATCAACGACAATTCTAGTCTTTGTGCTTCTAGTACATATACAGGAACTTGAAATTTCTTTGCTATTGGGCAAAGATCAATCAACTGTAGTATTGTCTAATTCTTGCAGAGGTTGAACAGCTTTTGGGACCAGAAGAAAGAGATATTTTGCAACAGAATGCAACTCCTAACCTGGGTAAAATATCAACAGTAAGTGGTCAAAGTAATGAACAACCTATTATTAAATAATTATTTTTTTTCCCATCTCCTCCATGGGTCTGGCAGTAGCCTCTCCTAGTAATTACCTGCTTCTTGGTTAGTATTATTTACTAGAGAGTACATTCTTCTTATTTATTTGCTACCTTGGCATTTTTCCTGTGAAAAAGGAATTGAAATGCACATTTTGTTGCTGATTAATAGGCTAATTAATCCTGTAAACTCTTGTGACTCTTTTATCTCAGGCGAAATGGAACCCTTTCCATTCTCTTGGGCTTGCGGGACAGATACATTACATGGACATGTTACTTGGAAATGGGCTTCACATTGACCTTGCTGATAAGGTAGGACTTGTCAATTTCTCAATTCCATGCTTTCAATACTAGAATTGGGGAAATATATATATTTACATGGAGCAAGTGATTGGTTACTTTGATCAAGCAGGATGGTATGACTGCTCTTCACACCGCAATTATTGGTAAAAAGGAGCTGTCGTTAGTCATCTTTTAAGAAAAGGTGCAAATCCTAACATTGGAGATCGGGTGAGGCATGTTTCATTCTTTGGAGCTCCATTTTTGTTTAGTTTTGGTTAGGCTATGTTTGATCTGTTGTGCTCTTTTAACAGGATAGTGCTTCCCCACTCCATTATGCTGTTCAAGTTGGGGGCATGCAAACTGTGAAGCTATTAATTAAGTACAATGTTGATGTGAACGCTTCTGATAATGTGAGTGCAGAGAGATAGGCTGTATTTTTTTCCCCTTGTTCCATATATTCAATTTTAGTTTTGCTTCAAAGTTCTTTTTCGCAGGAAGGATGGACTCCATTACATATTGCCATCCAAACTAGAAATAGAGACATAGCAAAAGTTTTACTAGTCAATGGAGCAGACAAGACCCGAAGAAACAAGGTATTTCACTTCTTTTGCAGATTGTATAAGTCAGAAATTCTCATGCTAGGATCATCTAGGTAAATTTTATCTTCTTTTGTGCCTTGAGGAACTCATGAACTTTTAGATTTTAAGCTCATTGGCTGACCTTCATTTAGTCTCTCTTATTATGTGTTTTTATGAAAAACCAAATCATTATCAAGTACAAGTTGTCATTCTAACAAATTGTACACTTCACTAGAACTCCCACTTTATCTCTTACATTTTATCATCAAATCATCATTATCGCGATGACTTCTGGTATTGGGACAGTATTTCCATTTTTTTCATTATAAAAAAAAAAAAAAAACTGAATGATTGATGTAAATGTCTTTGAATTGTAAACTAATTTGTTTGATAGAATATTGCGGAATATTACATTTCTTCTTCCAGCTTTCAGGAAAGTGGATCTGACATTATCACGTCATTATGTTTCAGGATGGAAAAACACCCCTTGATCTAGCCTTATGTTATGGGAAAGACTTCAAGTCTTATGATCTTGCCAAGTTACTGAAGCTTGTACCAGCTAACAGGTATCTGTGAATGGAAGTGTGCATGCGTGCCCCAACTTTGGGATAGAATCTTGTTTGGGTTTGTTTTAATTTTGAATTATGATCCCAGGAGTGATCTGAAACAGTTGCCATAATATATCACAGAGAATCTGGACAGACCCTGGTCTAGCCAACATCAGGACATCTGAAGAATTTCTCAAGAGTTTTTCTTGCTGTTTCAGTATTTGATTTGGTTATAGAAATTGTTGCTCATTTCAAGAAATGGAATTTGAATCTGATCAATCCATGGGAGGTTCAGGCTCTTGTGCAGTGGTCTTACATGGCTTGGCTATCTTTCAGAGTTAATTATATTGCTCCTTCCGTTGTGTTTCTTTCTAAATTCTGCATTGTACTTTTCATGATTCAATTGCTCGATTGGCTAGTTCTCTGTTTTGGGGTTTTTTGGATGAAGTTCAAGAAATTGAAACCAGTGATTGAAGGAGAACCATATGACATTGACGATTGTTCAAGTTTCCCAATGGTTCTTGTTCAGATTCCAATATGCAATGAAAGAGAGGTAATCAAACAACAAAAAAAACTACTCTCTCCTTTTCTTTTCATACGTTTCTGTTCTCAATTTGTACATGTTAACCTCTTTAATTACATCTGACAGCTCAATTTGCATTTTTAATCAAGAGCAGTTAGTTGCATATTGAAAGGGCTGTTTGGCCCAATGATAAGGCTTGCCCTGGTGGCACGAGTTCAAATCTTGTGATTTCCAAATTCAGTCTGCATTGAGTCATTTGTTTTAGCACGTAGGTGCATATTGGTGTTTTTTCTCTCTTCTAGATCAAGAGTTTCGTGCACTGGGTCGCCATTTTTTTTAGCAGTTGGATGCATATTGGTGTTTATTGATCCATTTACATTTTTTTGTGTGGATCTGATGTGAAAGATTTTCTTGGAATTTTGGTATATGAGCAATCAATCTCTGCTGTCTGCCAGTTGGATTGGCCAAAGAACCGATTTCTAGTTCAAGTCCTAGATGATTCAGATGTTGAAAGTTTACAGAATCTAATAAGAAATGAAGTATTTTCATGGAAACAAAAAGGGGTGAACATAATCTACAGACATAGATTCATAAGAACGGGTACAAAGCAGGCAATCTTCTATCAGCCATGGGCTGTGACTATGTCAAGGACTACGAGTTTGTCGCAATCTTCGATGCAGACTTTCAGCCCAATCCTGATTTCCTTAAACTGACAATACCGTTGGATTGGCCAAAGAACCGATTTCTAGTTCAAGTCCTAGATGATTCAGATGTTGAAAGTTTACAGAATCTAATAAGAAATGAAGTATTTTCATGGAAACAAAAAGGGGTGAACATAATCTACAGACATAGATTCATAAGAACAGGGTACAAAGCAGGCAATCTTCAATCAGCCATGGGCCGTGACTATGTCAAGGACTACGAGTTTGTCGCAATCTTCGATGCAGACTTTCAGCCCAATCCTGATTTCCCTAAACTGACAATACCTCACTTCAAGGTAACAAATATATCCACTTGAATAATGTTTCTTTTGAATCTTTATAATCTTGTTAATCTTACCTATGAGGTGTTTGTGAAATTGTCTCAGGGAAAATCCCGAGGTGGGTCTGGTCCAAGCACACTGGTCGTTTGTCAACAAGGATGAGAATTTACTCACAAGGCTTCAAAATGTTAATCTGTGCTTCCATTTTGAGGTAGAGCAGCAAGTTAATGGCATGTTTATTAATTTCTTTGGATTCAATGGAACTGCTGGAGTGTGGAGGATTAAGGCCTTAGAGGAGTCAGGAGGTTGGCTTGAAAGAACAACTGTAGAGGACATGGACATTGCAGTTCGAGCCCATCTGAACGGGTGGAAATTCATTTTCCTTAATGATGTGAGGGTGCTTTGTGAATTACCCGAATCTTATGAAGCGTACAAGAAACAACAGCATCGCTGGCATTTGGGTCCAATGCAGCTCTTCAGATTATGCCTTCCTGCTATCTTGACTTCCAAGGTCTTTTTTTTTTTTTTTTTTTTACTCCCGAGTTAGATGTTGATTTTTAAGAATCTGTAGTAGTTCTAATATTTGTTCAAATCTGATTTATCGCTGTCTCTATGTGCAGATATCAATGTGGAAGAAGGCCAACATGATATTTCTCTTCTTTCTTCTGTGAAAACTGATACTTCCTTTTTACTCATTCACACTATTTTGCGTCATACTTCCATTAGCAATGTTCATACCTGAGGCAGAATTACCTCTTTGGGTGGTTTGTTATGTCCTGGTTTTCATGTCTTTTTTGAATGTCCTGCCTTCTCCGAAATCTTTCCCATTCTTGATACCATACCTACTGTTTGAGAACACCATGTCTGGGACAGAATTCAATGCCATGGTGTCGGGGCTATTTCAACTTGGAAGTGGTTAGTCTGTCATCAATTCTGGTGTCATGAAGGATCGCGAGATGCCTTTCTTTGCCCGACATATTCTGTCATCTTTGTAAAGTAGTGTAGCTGGCTGTAGTCATCTACCCCTTTCTTCTTCTCTTGTTATAGAAGTGAATCAAACCAATGCGTACAAATTGACAAACCAAGAGGATCCAATTGCAATAGTTCAGTTAACAAAAATGCATAGTTAAATTATAGATGAGCAAGTGTATTGCTTGATTACAAAACACAGAAAAAACACGAGCAAAAAGCATGGCTTGATGGCTTATTGGCCGGCTTGCTTGAGGAATAGTGGTAGGTCCCTAAATGTACACATTTAGGCTCCCAACTACATTTGTTAAGTCGCACTACAATAAAATTGAATTTTCATGATTTGCAATTTATGTTGTAAAAACTCTGATCACGGCATGTACACAAATGCCGTTATATGACATGTCGTGAAAAGTTGATTGTCATTTACAGTACACAGGTAAAGTTGTAAAAAATAATAAATTAAACATTAAATATTAATGATATACTTTGTATGTCGTCTATAATTTTTTATGATATTTTTTTGCATGTCATAAATCATTATTTTTTCAAAGCCTAATTTTGCATGTCGTAAAGGGTTATTTTTAATAAATTTATGGCATACTTTATATGTATATAATTTTTTACAATATTTTTTTTGTATTTCATAAATCATTATACTTTTCACAGTTTAATTTTGCATGTTATAAAAGGTTATTTTTAATATATTTGTGACATACTTTGCATGCCGTATGTAATCTTACGATTTTTTTTTTGCATGTCCTAGACAATTGCACTTTTCACAGTATAATTTTACATGTAGTTATGACTATTTGATTATTCTAATGAATTTGCATGTTAGGTAGGTTATTTGAGTCCTTGCAATGGAAGTGAGTTTAAATGAGTAGATTAAAGGATCGCAAGATGGGACCAAACAAAGCAAGAAAAAAGTGTTGAACGTTCTGGTGAGCCCGGGTGCACGAGCCCAGGCACACAACACATTAGTAAGTCCAAAAAATTGAAGTTTTATGCTCTTTTTGAGCCATTCCAACCCTAATTGCGATGGAAGTATAGAAGGATGGCATAGTGTCACGGGTTGCCTTGCAAGGCTAATTCCGTGACGTTTCGCTTGCGGTGGTGTGGCCATTTGAGTGCTCAAGAGTGGCTGTTGGAAGTGCCCCAACGTGGCCTGACATTAGCCCAAGTCATGTAGGCCACAAATAGCCAGCAAACGGCAAGGTCGCAGCCCATGCTAGCAGCCAAACAGCGCTGCCAGCAGCTAGCAGCAGCAGCTTGTAGTGCAGAATTTTGGCGCGTTGTTTCGGCATCCAAGCGAAGGAGTTTCGAGTTGAAATTTTTATTGGAAAGAGGTCTTAGGGGAAGTGTTTTCCCGACCAAGTTTCGTGATTTTTCTCAATTTGTGAAATTTATGAAAAATCATTATGACTCCTCGGACATATATGATGTTTCCTCCTGCCAGAGGACAAATTGCTTAACAAGCATATATAAGGGGGCAAGGTGTGCTACCTACCTACCTCCCCGCCCAAATTGGGCTTCAAGTGAGCAACTTTAGGGCAACTCAAGGGCGGACTTTAGGCATCCAGAGGGGTGTCTAGAGTCTCCACGTGGGTTTGGGAGCCCCGTGGACAGTGCAATAATGTAAGCACTGGGCGTGTCCTCCCGAGGGAGAGGTCCACTACGTTGTTTCCAATATGCCACGCAATATGGCATCTTTGGGACTCGTTTTGGACCGAATGGGCTATCGAAGCACCACCGAAGGCCTCGTGTATCAACTAAAGTGCTTGGTTTGGGTTCAACCTTGCACGAGGGGATCCTGTGGCTTAAGCTAAGCGGTTGGAAGGTGACACCGCATATGTGGGCTATCGAATGAAGGTATCAAGTTATGCAGTGACCAAGTCTATTGAGGGACTACATTATGCTACAAGCAAGCTATGGATTGAGACGTCGCCTTACTCATGCTACACGTTGGTGCAACGCTAAGGTGCGCAATGGCCTTAGGCGGAATCTAGCACACATGTTGGCACGAGGATTACGTCGTGGGCAAGAGATTAACCCTCGGTGGCTTGTGGACTTCGCATGACCAAGTGGCCATCCAATATGCATCTATTGAGGCATGCTTGACCCTACGACACTTCGAGATGCTATCAAAGACCCAACATGCAATGTTGGCTTGTCGGCTAAGTTGAGGACCTTCGCTAGCACATTGTTGTATGGCTAGGCACCTTGATGACATAAACCTAAGTTGGGCGAGCACCTTGCTGGAGGTAAGCTTGGCGCTATGAAGCGACTTATGCCGTGCTTGGTGCACTTGAGGCGTTAGGCCTACTTGTGGCATCCGAGGGAAGACGGAGCTTCCTTGTGAAGTTGTTTTGCTTGACAAAGCATTGGGCCCTAATGTTCAAACGGGTGAGACCATCAACACTCGATTTGTCAACGAGCTATGGCGGGCTTAAACTTGGTGGAGTTTGAGCGCCACACGGGCGAAAAATTGATCCGTTGTGCCTCTAAAGGAGTTGGCTCGTGACACATAGCCTTTATAAAAGGGAGTTCCTGACAGATCAAAAGATGACACGAGGTAAGAGAGGAAGCTCCAGATTTCAAGGATAAATTTTTCAAGTTCTCCATAGACAACTAATCTTCTTGCTTAAGGTGTAGATGAAACTCTAACCAAATAACCTTATTTTGTACTTTACTTTGGGATTGATTTTAATACAATGATTGTATAACTTTGAGACAATTTCTATTCGATCAAATTTATTCTTTCAATCATGTTTGATGTATTTAATTTCTGTGATTTTTTAATACATGGTCTTATAATGGTAATCTTTGTACATATATTTGAGAGTTGAGATATATAACTCATGCCTAGAAAAGACGAGATGTCATGCAATCTTAATTTCGTGTAGATGTTTGGTGCTAGTCGAAGATGAGTTATGCCTAATTTTGAAGTCCATGAATTCTCTTAAAAGACACCGTTAGCACTTGTAGCCATAGGATGTTACTATTGTGTAAAGCAATCAATTCCTAAATTGATAGAATGATTATGGTTATGAAGCTAGTGGTGAATTCAAATTCTTAAGTATTTTCATATTAAATTACACATTTAACTTCTGTTTTTAATTCCTTTCATATTTTATTATATAAAATCTCAATATCTTTTGAATTAATTTAAGAAGGACTTTTCAGATTTAAAACAATTCAGTCTTCAAAGATCGATATCTAAACTTCTTGTTATTTTATTCATTATTCTATTCAAAACTCGAGAATTTTCATTAAAAGACAGATTCCCTCCTTTGATCCTACAGGAACTAGATCATAGTGTTGAAACTATAAAGAGACTTCTGAATTGCAAAGTACCATTAGAAGCTCAATATATATGAGTGTTATAACCGAAAATCATTTTATTCATAACTGAAGTTATCACAATAAGGCTGTAATAAGAAGTGTTAGTGGTTCAATTGGTTTGTGATCTAGAAAAAGTTCACCACTGAACTGAACTCTTCAATTTTTTTGGCTAAGAAATTGAAAGTGACCACATTATAGTTCGATTTTGTTGATTTAATGTAACAGATGGATTCCCTCAAAAGGTTTTAAGGGGGTTTATATTGTAAAATTATACATTGGGAATAAATTAAGAGAAAGGGTAAATGTTGCTCCATATATACCTCTCCCAAACTTTTATTACAAAATATGTATCATTAGTCATCTTTCTTTAGATAAATCATAAATACACCCCCTGGGATTTATTTAAAATACGAATTGTCTCATGTGGTTTGAAAAATTACAAATATCTCTCTGTCAGAATTTTTTATTTAACAGAATTAATTAAAAAATTAAAATTTCTAACTGTTCACCTATATAATAATAAAATTATCTGAATTATTAATTGAAATAACATTTTAACATTAATAAAACTGTTAATTAACGTAATGATTTATTAATAAAATGACCTATTCGTTATGAAGTTAGAAATCTTAAGGGACATAATGTAATTTCTAGAATCACTGAGGGTAATTTATAATTTAAGTAAATCTCATGGAGTGTGTTTGTAATTTACCCGATATAATAAGTCTTAAAATAAAAACAAACCGCACCTTATGACAAATTGACCCAAAATTAAAATTTTATTTGATATTGAACGGTCGGTTTGGTACTATCATTTTCCTTTTTTAACAATGCTAGGTAGCTCAAAATTTTGTGGCTCAAATGACTCAAATCACTCAAAACGACGTCGTTTTGAGTGTAAAACGATATAAAACAACGCCGTTTTGACATATTTGAGTCATTTGAGCTACAAAATTTTGGGCTACCAAACATTTTCCTTTTTTTTAACATTTCTAATTAGAATAATACTTGGTTGCTCGAAATTCAGTGTCTTATTTTTGGCTCGAAACCCAAAACGACGTCGTTTTGGGTTTCGATATATATATATATATATATTTATTCTTTTTCTTGCATTCGAATACAGAGAAAGAGAGAAAAGAGAGAGAGAAAGAGGAGGAGGAAGACATGGAAGAAAAGAGGAAGAAAAGAAGAGAAAGAGAGAAGACTACGGAGGAGGAGGAAGACATGAAAGATCTGTGTGTGTATACACAGATCTGTGTATACACACACAACAGACAGTGGCAGATGGCACACAGCAGACGGTGATGCCTGTGGGTCTCTCGCCTCTACTCTCTCTACTTTTTTTTTTGTTCTTTTCTAGTTGATCTGGATCTGGATCTGAAGATGTTGATGATTTGTTGATGATTGTTGTTGTTGATGATGATGTTGTGTTGTTGGATTTTTTATTTTTTTTTCAAATTCGACAATTTTAATTTTTTAATTTTTTTTTGTAATTGCTGTTGTTGATGAATGTATGATGTTATGTAGTTGAATTTCTTTTTTTTTCATATTCGAAAAAAATTATGATGTTGTGTTGTTGATGAATGTGTTGTTAAATGTGTTGTTGTTGTTGTTGTGTTGATGAATGCCCCTTTTCCTTTTCTCTCTTTCCTCTTCTTTCTTCTTCTTTGTTGAAGAATAGGCACAGATCAGAACAGAGAAAGGGGGAGAGGGGAAAAATATATATATATATATATATCAAAACGACGTCATTTTAATTTTAGGGCCAATCGAGTCACTGATTTTCGAGCTACGAAATAGGATTGTTCTAATTATACTTGACATCACTTTCAAACACTACAAAACATCATAATAGTTGGCGAAAAATGCTTGGGAGCACTAATTAGTGCTCCCACTAATTAGGTGGCAGTGGGTCCCGCCATTAATGATGTGATGTTTTGGTCTTGGAGTTGTATTTTTTTTTTTTTTTTACTTTTTTAATGCATTAGTGCTATTAGTGGTGATATTTTTAGTGGGATGAATCATTGTTAAATAGTTGGCAGCCAATATGAATTTAGATGATAACTTCTATGTGACATATATGCTGTAGATTTTAGATAGGGATGTAAATGAGTCAAGTCGAGCCAAGTAATAGATTGCTTAAGTTTGACTTGAAAACTTAATGAGTTTTAGAATGTGTTCAAACTTCACTAATTTACATAACGAGTAGATATTAAACAAATTTTTACTTAAGCTTGAATAATTTGATATACAAATTAAGCTTGAATAATTTGATATATTTTATAGCCCTAATTGTAGATACAACCCAAAGGGCCCCCTATTCGTTTGATAGTCTTAATCTAAAAACATAAATTGACAAATTGTACTGGCAAAGTCACATGGTCCATGTGGTTTGATGATGCCATATGATTGTTTGGCAAGAGGAAAAGTATCACAACTTATTTCCTTGTTTTAATTTAACCAAATACGACAAACATTAAGGTGCTGTTTGGTAACACTTATATTTTCAGTTTTCTGTTTATATTTACAAAAATTTTAAAAACTCAAATAAAAACTTGTTTGGTAAAATTTTTGATTTATAAATCAGTGGTCTCAGTTTATAAATTTTGCCAAAAAATGAAAACACAAAAAATGTGTTTTCATTTCTGGTCGTTTGTCAACAAGGATGAGAATTTACTCACAAGGCTTCAAAATGTTAATCTGTGCTTCCATTTTGAGGTAGAGCGGCAATTTAATGGCATGTTTATTAATTTCTTTGGATTCAATGGAACTGCTGGAGTGTGGAGGATTAAGGCCTTAGAGGAGTCAGGAGGTTGGTTTGAAAGAACAACTGTAGAGGACATGGACATCGCAGTTCGAGCCCATCTGAACGGGTGGAAATTCATTTTCCTTAATGATGTGAGGGTGCTTTGTGAATTACCCGAATCTTATGAAGCGTACAAGAAACAACAGCATCGCTGGCATTCGGGTCCAATGCAGCTCTTCAGATTATGCCTTCCTGCTATCTTGACTTCCAAGGTTTTTTTTTCCCTTTTTACTCCCGAGTTAGATGTTGATTTTTAAGAATCTGTAGTAGTTCTAATATTTGTTCAAATCTGATTTATCGCTGTCTCTATGTGCAGATATCAATGTGGAAGAAGGCCAACATGATATTTCTCTTCTTTCTTCTGCGAAAACTGATACTTCCTTTTTACTCATTCACACTATTTTGCGTCATACTTCCATTAGCAATGTTCATACCCGAGGCAGAATTACCTCTTTGGGTGGTTTGTTATGTCCCGGTTTTCATGTCTTTTTTGAATGTCCTACCTTCTCCGAAATCTTTCCCATTCTTGATACCATACCTACTGTTTGAGAACAACATGTCTGGGACAAAATTCAATGCCATGGTGTCGGGACTATTTCAACTTGGAAGTGGTTATTCTGTCATCAATTCTGGTGTCATGAAGGATCGCGAGATGCCTTTCTTTGCCCGACATATTCTGTCATCTTTGTAGAGCAAGTAGTGTAGCTGGCTGTAGTCATCTACCCCTTTCTTCTTCTCTTGTTAGAAGTGAATCAAACCAATGCGTACAAATTGACAAACCAAGAGGATCCAATTGCAATAGTTCAGTTAAAAAAAATGCATAGTTAATTATAGATGAGCAAGTGTATTGCTTGATTACAAAACACAGAAAAAACACGAGCAAAAAGCATGGCTTGATGGCTTATTGGCCGGCTTGCTTGAGGAATAGTGGTAGGTCCCTAAATGTACACATTTAGGATCCCAACTACATTTGTTAAGTCAAAATTGAATTTTTACGATTTGCAATTCATGTTGTAATGTTGTAAAAACTCTAATCACGGTATGTACACGAATGTCGTTATATGACATGTCGTGAAAAGTTGATTGTCATTTACAGTACACAGGTAAAGTTGTAAAAAATAATAAATTAAACATTAAATATTAATGATATACTTTGTATGTCGTCTATAATTTTTTATGATATTTTTTTGCATGTCATAAATCATTATTTTTTCAAAGCCTAATTTTGCATGTCGTAAAGGGTTATTTTTAATAAATTTATGGCATACTTTATATGTATATAATTTTTTACAATATTTTTTTTGTATTTCATAAATCATTATACTTTTCACAGTTTAATTTTGCATGTTATAAAAGGTTATTTTTAATATATTTGTGACATACTTTGCATGCCGTATGTAATCTTACGATTTTTTTTTTGCATGTCCTAGACAATTGCACTTTTCACAGTATAATTTTACATGTAGTTATGACTATTTGATTATTCTAATGAATTTGCATGTTAGGTAGGTTATTTGAGTCCTTGCAATGGAAGTGAGTTTAAATGAGTAGATTAAAGGATCGCAAGATGGGACCAAACAAAGCAAGAAAAAAGTGTTGAATGTTCTGGTGAGCCCGGGTGCACGAGCCCAGGCACACAACACATTAGTAAGTCCAAAAAATTGAAGTTTTATGCTCTTTTTGAGCCATTCCAACCCTAATTGCGATGGAAGTATAGAAGAATGGCAGTGTCACGGGCTGCCTTGCAAGGCTTACTCCGTGACGTTTCGCTTGCGGTGGTGTGGCCATTTGAGTGCTCAAGAGTGGCCGTTGGAAGTGTCCCAACGTGGCCTAACATTAGCCCCAAGTAGCCCAAGTCATGTAGGCCACAAATAGCCAGCAAATGGCAAGGCCGCAGCCCATGCTAGCAGCCAAACAGCGCTGCCAGCAGCCAGCAGCAGCAGCTTGTAGTGCAGAATTTTGGCGCGTTGTTTAGGCATCCAAGCGAAGGAGTTTCGAGTTGAAATTTTTATTGGAAAGAGGTTTTAGGGGAAGTGTTTTCCCGACCAAGTTTCGTGATTTTTCTCAATTTATGAAATTTATGAAAAATCATTATGACTCCTCGGACATATATAATGTTTCCTCTTGCCAGAGGAGAAATTGCTTAACAAGCATATATAAGGGGGCAAGGTGTGCTACCTACCTACCTCCCCGCCCAAATTGGGCTTCAAGTGAGCAACCTTAGGGCAACTCAAGGGCGGACTTTAGGCATCCAGAGGGGTGTCTAGAGTCTCCACGTGGGTTTGGGAGCCCCGTGGACGGTGCAATAATGTAAGCACTGTGCGTGTCCTCCCGAGGGAGAGGTCCATTACGTTGTTTCCAATATGCCACGCAATATGGCATCTTTGGGACTCGTTTTGGACCGAATGGGCTATCGAGGCACCACCGAAGGCCTCGTGTGCCAACTAAAGTGCTTGGTTTGGGTTCAACCTTGCACGAGGGGATCCTGTGGCTTAAGCTAAGCGGTTGGAAGGTGACACCGCATATGTGGGCTATCGAATGAAGGCATCAAGCTATGCATTGACCAAGTCTATTGAGGGACTATATTATGCTACAAGCAAGCTATGGATTGAGATGTCGCCTTACTCATGTTACACGTTGGTGCAACGCTAAGGTGCGCAATGGCCTTAGGCGGAATCTAGCACACGTGTTGGCACGAGGATTACGCCGTGGGCAAGAGATTGAGCCTCGGTAGCTTGTGGGCTTCGCATGACCAAGTGGCCATCCAATATGCATCTATTGAGGCATGCTTGACCCTACGACACATCGAGATGCTATCAAAGACCCAACATGCAATGTTGGCTTGTCGGCTAAGTTGAGGACTTTCGCTAGCACATTGTTGTATGGCTAGGCACCTTTATGACATAAACCTAAGTTGGGCGAGCACCTTGCTGGAGGTAAGCTTGGCGCTATGAAGCGACTTATGCCGTGCTTGGTGCACTTGAGGCGTTAGGCCTACTTGTGGCATTCGAGGGAAGATGGAGCTTCCTTGTGAAGTTGTTTTGCTTGACAAAGCATTGGGCCCTAATGTTCAAACGGGTGAGACCATCAACACTCGATTTGTCAACGAGCTATGGCGGGCTTAAACTTGGTGGAGTTTAAGCGCTACACGGGCGAAAAATTGATCCGCTACGCCTCTAAAGGAGTCAGCCCGTGACACATAGCCTTCATAAAAGGGAGTTCCTGACAGATCAAAAGATGACACAAGAGGTAAGAGAGGAAGCTCCAGATTTCAAGGATAAATTTTTCAAGTTCTCCATAGACAACTAATCTTCTTGCTTAAGGTGTAGATGAAACTCTAACCAAATAACCTTATTTTGTACTTTACTTTGGGATTGATTTTAATACAATGATTGTATAACTTTGAGACAATTTCTATTCGATCAAATTTATTCTTTCAATCATGCTTGATGTATTTAATTTTTGTGATTTTTTAATACATGGTCTTATAACGGTAATCTTTGTACATATATTTGAGAGTTGAGATATATAACTCATGCCTAGAAAAGACGAGATGTCATGCAATCTTAATTTAGTGTAGATGTTTGGTGCTAGTCGAAGATGAGTTGTGCCTAATTTTGAAGTCCATGAATTCTCTTAAAAGACACCGTTAGTGCTTGTAGCCATAAGATATTATTTTGTAAAGCAATCAATTCCTAAATTGATAGAATGATTATGGTTATGAAGCTAGTGGTGAATTCAAATTCTTAAGTATTTTCATATTAAATTACACATTTAACTTCTGTTTTTAATTCCTTTCATATTTTATTATATAAAATCTCAATATCTTTTGAATTAATTTAAGAAGGAATTTTCAGATTTAAAACAATTCAGTCTTCAAAGATCGATATCTAAACTTCTTGTTATTTTATTCATTATTCTATTCAAAACTCGAGAATTTTCATTAAAAGACAGATTCCCTCCTATGATCCTACAGGAACTTGATCATAGTGTTGAAACTATAAAGAGACTTCTGAATTGCAAAGTACCATTAGAAGCTCAATATATATGAGTGTTATAACCGAAAATCATTTTATTCATAACTGAAGTTATCACAATAAGGCTGTAATAAGAAGTGTTAGTGGTTCAATTGGTTTGTGATCTAGAAAAAGTTCACCACTGAACTGAACTCTTCAATTTTTTTGGCTAAGAAATTGAAAGTGACCACATTATAGTTCGATTTTGTTGATTTAATGTAACAGATGGATTCCCTCAAAAGGTTTTAAGGGGGTTTATATTGTAAAATTATACATTGGGAATAAATTAAGAGAAAGGGTAAATGTTGCTCCATATATACCTCTCCCAAACTTTTATTACAAAATATGTATCATTAGTCATTTATCTTTGGGTAAATTATAAATACACTCTTTGAGATTTACTTAAAATACGAATTGCCTCTTGTAGTTTGAAAAATTATAAATATTTCTCTGTCAGGATTTTTTATTTAATAGAATTAATTGAAAAAGTGAAATTTCTAACTGTTCACCTAAACAATAATAAAATTATTTGAATTATTAATTGAAATAACATTTTAACATAAATAAAAATCGTTAATTAACTTGATGATTTATTAATAAAATGACATATTTGTTATGAAATTAGAAACCTTAAAGGGTATAATGTAATTTCTAGAATCACATAGAGTAATTTATAATTTAAATAAACCTCATGGGATGTGTTTGTAATTTACCCGATATAAAAAGTCTTAAAATAAAAACAAACCGCACCTTATGACAAATTGACCCAAAATTAAAATTTTATTTGATATTGAACAGTCGGTTTGGTACTATCAATTTTTTTTAACATTTCTAATTATACTTGACATCACTTTCAAACACTACAAAACATCATAATAATTGGCAGCCAATATGAATTTAGAAGATAACTTTTATGTGACATATATGTTGTAGATTGTAGATAGGGTTATAAATGAGTCAAGTCGAGGCAAGTAATAGATTGCTTAAGTTTGGCTTGAAAATTTAATGAGTTTTAGAATGTGTTCAAACTTCACTAATTTACATAACGAGTAGATATTAAACAAATTTTTACTTGTCAAATACGAATTAAGCTGGAATAGTTTGATACATTTTACAGCCCTAATTGTAGATACAACCCAAAGGGCCCCCTAATCGTTTGATTAAGTCTTAATCTAAAAACATAAATTGACAAATTGTACTGGCGAAGTCACATGGTCCATGTGGTTTGATGATGCCATATGATTGTTTGGCAAGAGGAAAAGTGTCACAACTTATTTCCTTGTTTTAATTTAACCAACTACGACAAACGTTAAAAAAATGTTTTTCAGTGTCAATTTTTTTTTTTTTACAGATAAAATACACTTTATCCCTTCTATGTTTGGTCATATTTTCACGTTGGTTCTTGAAATTTATTTTTTTCGCTTTTTTTTTTTCATGTTTCAAATTGTTCCTTACTGTAAAAGTTAACTTATGTCTAAAATTAGACAAAAAATAATATATTGACAGTTACGTGACATAAAAATATTTTATTATATATAACTTATACTTCTAACACAAACCTAAATTTCAATATAATAATACATTTTTTATTGGGCAAATTACATATACCCCTCGAGGTTTAACAAAATTACAGATACCCCCTTGAGATTTAAGAAATTACAGATACCCCCTGAATGTACTATTTGCATAACAAATTAAGGGGCAAATTGTTATGAAAATATAAATTTCAAGGGGCAGTTTGTTATGAAAATATAAACCTCAAGAAAGTATTTGTAATTTTTCAAATCTCAAGCGATATCTGTAATTTAGCTAAATCTCGAGAGAGGTATATGTAATTTGCCCTTTTTTATTTTATGTGACAAAATGTCATTTTTTGTCTAATAATTAATTTTAAAACTAAATTAAAAAAAAAAACTTAAAACATAAAAGGTCAAAGTAGTAAAATAAATAAATTTTAAGGGTTATAGTAAAAAAATAACCATACATAAAAGGAATAAAGTGCAATTTACCTTCTTTTTTTTTAACTAAACGGTGTGAACATTTGATGAGTTTGTTAGGAAAATCAACTAGTTTAGAATTTACAATTATTAAAATTTAAAATTCTGAAATTAAATTTTTTTAACTTAAAATAAATAAAAAATCACTTAAAACAAAAATAGAATAGCTTATGACTTATTTTGACAACTCGACTGAAAGCCGCTTTTTTTATTTATTTTTATTTTTTTAAATCACATCATTTTTTTATTTTTTAAAATATTTTTTTTAAAAAAATAAAATCAAATAAATAAAAAAAAATCAAAAAATTAACTTTTAACCTATTTTTCAAAATCTTTTCTCCAGATGAGTTTCATCTTTTACCTAGAGAGATGAGTTTCATCTTTTACCTAGAGGGAAACCGTCAGCAAATAAGGAACCATTTTTTAAGTCTCTGTACCAAAACCACCCAAAAACAATCCTTACAAATTCATTATCAAAGTAATTTTCTCCTATTTTCAAAGATAGTATAACCCAAATTGCTGCCTTTCTACTCTTCAAGTAGCTGCTAAGAATCAAACAAAACAATTCTTCACAACATAATGCTTTTTTTTTTTAAGTAAATATTTTCAACACGGTAAAACTCATAACAATCTGTGACTATAAATTGATGCATATTTTTTATTTCAATAGTATTACATGCATCAATTAGTGTACCAACATATGTTATGACATTATTACTAACCCACCCATTATACAAATTACAAATACCTAAAATCTTTAAAATTGTGTCACATCACCTATTAGTAACTAATTGGTATACCAATTAGTACATATAGCATTATTCTTTTGTTTTTAGCGATATCTAGCAACAATTTTGTCGCTCAACCAGAAAGCTCACGAGCTTTCAAACAATGAACTAAAATTACAAAGCCAGCAAAGGCCGAGGTTCTTGTGGCTGCCGCACCTTAGGATGTGGCGAGCAGAAGGTTTGAAATTCAAATCAATAGACCGGCGACGGCCTCTTTAAGTTATAACCTAATTTTACTAACATAATAACATTCTATCTTTGACACACACACACCCAAAAAAAAAAACACACCCCCAAAAAAAAAAAAAAACAGTAAAAGGTAGTTCCAGCGCACAAAAATAACAGAATGGCAAAGTTTAAAAGGTCTGCATAATAACCAGACATCACGGCAATTCCAAGATTTTCGGTCAATGGATCTAAAATATCAAAAAGCACAGAATAGAAGCATGTATTTAAGTTAGACACTGCCATACTGAGTTATATATTGCTTTTAAATATTTCAGTTGCAATGTGTTAGAACTAGCCTACGTACTACCCTACAAAATTACTATTAGGCACCTTATAATTTCTGTGCATCAACACCACCATTATATGTACATAAGAAGTTGTTTTTGGCTACCACATGTATTGTCAGTGATGGTAATTTCTACAACTTGAGCGAGCACTCTGCACTGCTGCTGCTGCTGCTATTATTGACGAATCCCTTTGCAAGAAAAGAGGCTGTATCTTCCATGGCCGATGGAAATTGTTCATAAATCTATAGAAGATAATACATTACATGAGAAATTGCTAGCTAAGTATGCGTGGTTTTGTTTTCGTTTTTTGTGTTTTCATAAATAAATAATAATAATAATAATAATAAAAAAAATAAAACAATGAAAAGTTCACAGCAGACATTGTTTTGCATATTTGCCTTCATTTTTGTGCAAAAATTAAAATTTTGAAAACAATTTACAGGTGTTTCCTTTCAGAAATTTTCCCCAAAGCTATTTTCAGAAATAATTTGCCAAACAAATCTTCAAGTTTTCCAGAAACAAAAACAGAACCACACAGACATATTTATTTGGTTTTGTTTCCATTTCTTCATTTTTTTGTATTTTGTGTTCTTGGGAACAATAACAATGCAAAGCTTGAAACAACCATCGTCGTATCATTTTCATTCATGTGAAACAATATTTGAAAATTCAAAAACCACCTGTTGATGTTTCTTAAAAGTGGGTTGTTTTCAAAACATTATCCTGAAAACATTTTTCTGAAACAATTCTCCAGACGTGTTTTCCAAAAAATGAAAATAGAAAATGAAAACACAACCAAACAAGCAGGGAGAAAAAAACAAAACAAAGAGTTGGGGCTCAAGTGGATACTTACTGGATCACTAGCTGCATTGAACAAATCCAAAAATGCTGTGGATAGTGCAAGAGGTGGCCCCTCTTTCAAAGGAGAACCATCCCTCATCGACAACCTAGCAACTTTCCTCAGTTGCTCACGAGCAAAAGGATTAAAAAGTACAATCTCATCAACCCGTTCAGCAACTCATACCTAAAGCCTATTTTCTCCTACAAATAAGGCAGAACAAAATTAGTGCCACAACATTTAAAACATTGGGTGAAAAAAGATCCACAACAAAAACAGGGAAAGGCAATAATACACACCTCCAAAAAGGTGTGTACCATGTGCCCATTTATAACCAAAAATGGTCTTTGGTTATAAATCAAAGTGGTGTTTGTTATGAATTGAAGTTATGGTGGCGGTTATAAACTAAAGTGGTGTTTTGGTTATGACCCAAAGCGATGTATGCCCCCAAATGGTGTTGGTTATTATAACCCAAAATAATGTCTGGTTAGGAGACAATTTTGTCACTTGTGAGGTAAAGTGGAGTTTGGCCCAGGGAGCTAGGGCATTCCAAAATAGGTGCTGTGTCGACGTGGACATGCGTATCCATGTACCATGCCAGTTTTTAAAATTATTATCATATTGCTAGACATGTTGGGACACTTCATAGACACACATCTGTGTCTGGACATGTCTCCAAACACTGTTGAGTTTATATATTTATTTTATTTTATAATTTTAGAAAGTTTTTTGGGTTCAAAGTAAAATATGTGAAAATAAAGACGGAAAAGTGGAGAAAAAAAAACCATGCCTCACATATCTTTGTACCCTAAATTTATATTACATATATAGCAAATAAAAGCATATAAAAAAATATTTATTATTTCCATATACTGCGGTGTCTGTATCCTAATTTTTTGAATATGGTTGTGTCATATTTGTACCAGTGTCTGTGTCTGTGCTTCTTGTTAAATTATGAGGTAAAGTGGTGTTTTGGTTATGAGCCAAAGTGGTTTTTGTTATGAGACAATTGTATTGTGCCATTTGTTTTGGAAACATGAACACTTTAGATCGTAACCGGGCATGCGGTACACATCTTTTGAGGGTACCATAGAATTAGCCAGCAACATAATATCTCTGTTTAGCCACATCCAAAAACACTACTACTATTATTTCTATTTATTTACCTGCTGTATAACTTCATGAGAAGCACCATCTTGAGAAGCATGTCCAACAAGATGCGCAAGAAGCCTTCTGTTACCCACATTCGAGGCAAAAATAACCACAGTGTGTCTGAAATCTACCGTATGTCCATCAACATTACTCAATGTACCTTGATCAAGAACAGAAAGTAAAGCACTGAAGACAGAAATGTGTGCCATCTCAACTTGTGAAAATAGAAGAATGCTGTGTGGCCTCATCTGGACAATTTCTAGGAGTGGAACACCATGTTGGCTATGGCTACTACATCAGAATATCACAAACGAATAAGTCATTCAAGCTAACAAACAGTAATACAGAAGTCGAAGGACACATAACCAACCACATAAAATAATCTTGGCCATACACATTAGGTGGTGAGGCCTTCCATTAAAGAGACTGTTCCTCTTAGATTGTGCCAACTGTTTTTCTGTGGCTGGTTCTGTATCCCTGGACTTATTGATGGTAATATAACAAGCAACCTATGATTAGCAGCCAAAAATTTAAAAACAACCAAATGGAAGTGTAAAGAGACCATACAATGGAAGCTCTAGAGGCCCATGGATCAACTGGAAAAGCGAGTCTGGGTCTCTGTATTTAGACAAGTCAATTTGAATAAGTAGGTCCGTCCCATCATCACATATAAAATTCTCAGCTACACTTCTTACAAAATCAGCCTGACCAACCCTTGTAAGACCCAAAAATAGGAGTGACATAGTGGGTCGATGTGGCAGATCATGTGGTGCAAGAATTGATTTCAACATTGCCTCTGCTACGACATCAATTGCTTCCTGATTTTGACCCACCACTCTGTTGCACAATACCATGCAAAGACCCTGCACTTGATTCTTAGCCCTCTTGGTAGACCTTTCAGTGTCTGTAGGTTGTGTCTCCTCATTGGAATAGTTTAAAGGTGCCTACAAGAAGACATTGGTAAATAAGAACCAAAGCAAAATACCAGTGAATCCATTCAAGAGCAATGCTACCTAAGCAGGGGCAGAACCAGGATTTTGTAATGGGGGGTAAGCTTGGAAGACAAACTTTCATCTATTGATATAATCATATTATTTTAAGTTTTCTTTGCTGGTGTTTCTAAGTCCTAGCATGAGAATATATAAGGATGCAAAAAAAAAAAAAAAAATGTACGAAAAGTAAAACAATTTCTATTCAGTCTCAACAAAATTGGGGAAAAAAGAAGACAAAAGTAATTGTTCCTTTGTAATTTCAACTCAATTGGGTCAGGTCGCAAGTGAGTAGTTGATCAAAGCCTCCCATTTTTATTTTTTTTCCTCTTTGCATTTGTTGATCAAAGCCTCTTGATTGCCAGGGGAAAAAAGAAATAAAAAAAATTCAAGTCTTGATGTTGTTCTATACAAAGAAGTGGAGTCATTGAGTAGTGAAAAACATATGAACTTAGAGCATCTCCAATTACGAGAGAAGTAAAACTAAAGAGGGTGGTCAAATTTTAGTTATAACTAAATCTGGTATCAAATTTGACATAAATTTAAGAACGCTGAAATATAACACAAAATTTAGTCAGTCATTACAGAGCTGAAAATTGAGCTTCATGTTATTTTTTTTTGGCAATAATAAGCTTTTTATCATATATGATTAGAGAAAGTCTAATCAAACAGTAGCTAGAAAACAAAACTAATGAAAGAGTTGCTGATAAGCTTTTTATCCTATTTTTTTATTTCATGGAATCCATTTGCTTCTATTTGGTGGTAGATAAGGTCCACTTTTTATCCTTTTTATCCTATTCACTGATATGGATTTTATTGAGTAAGAGAAAAAGGGTAAGCCTCATAGCCCACTGTAAAACAGGAAAATTGAATCTTCATCAATTATATACAATACACACAAGAGGGTTACTGGAAAAGTGGGGGTGCCATGCCACCCTCCTTACAGAAGATAGTTCCGCCCCTGCACCGAAGTACTCAAAAAATACTCAAAGAAATGCTTCAAAATTGCAATGTGTGGAAAAGGGTGTGACACACCACAAAGTTCAAATTACACTACATATTCAATTTCTAGACATTTTTCTAAGTATTTTTTTGGGCACAATGGCATTTTGTTAAGCAAATTGTGTTATTTATCCTACAAAAGCAAATGCGAAAGAGCAGGATAATGAGTACCAGTTTATTCTGACTGGGTGTCAAATTGACATCGACTGTATTCCTTATGAGATCATCCACTGTACTAAGCAACTTTTGGACTACTTCAGCAACACAGCCGAAATCTGCCACGGCATTTGCATTCAGGAGATTCATCAACTGAAAAAAGTTTCGTCTCAAAGTGTAGATCATATTGATTCGTTCCTTCTCTTTGCGGTACATGATTCTCAATTCCCTAAAAGATTCTTTGAAGTGCTTCAAGAACAGGTCTTCCACGTAAGAACCACGCTTCTCCAATCTATAAGACAGTTCCTTTGTTCCCACCAGGGCATCTATGTAAACCGCAGACATATCATCTATTTCATTCTTTGTAAGCATATCAAACAACAAAGGGACCACATTCTCCTCGAGCAAAATCCTCAAGACCTCTCCACCCTGAACACAAAAAATGGAAACAGTTGTTTTATGTCTATCACATCAAACATCTTAGAAAAGAGACTGCATACTGATTTATACAATAATACAGAGGCGGCTCCACCATATGGTTTGGGTATTCAAATGTTTTTAATATAATTAATAGTAATACAAATATTTTTAATTTAGTCTAATATTGAATACCCAACTCATCAAGTCTGCATACCCATTAGCCCAATTTTGAATATCCAACTCATTTGTCCACCCACAAAGATAGTCCATCGCCAAAAACAAAACGTTAATGGTAAAAAATATATAAGTAATAATAACACCGAAAGTTAAAACGGTGGATATGTTACTTTTAAGTTCTATTTAGTTTACTAAAATGAGATCAAATGGAATGAAATGGTCATTCTTTGTGCTTCCCTATGGAATGATCATTTTCTTATAATAATGAATGAAAATTCCATTTGTAATCTATTTATTTATTCAACCAAACATGAGTGTCAGGGCAGATATGACTGAGCAGTTTGGGCCAAATGGACCACTGGGCTCATGTGTTGCTAAACCAAGGGGACCCATTATGACCTAACACATTTGGGCAGCCGGACTAGAATTTGGCCATGGATGTGTGTGCACCTAGGCCCAACTTCTGCGTTTAGTTATTGGGCCAAGATGCTAAAGGAATGCCCGGTGGGTTGCGGTTCACATAAGTGACTGGGCAGGGCAAGGCATATGGTAGTAATGGACTTCAACTGGACAAGCATTCACCAAAAGTATCTTGCCCACTTAACGGTTTGGACCGGCTAGGCAAAACCAGCGGGAGCATATTTGCTAGGTTGGTTTATCCAGCTCGGTCTAGTTATCTGATTAGCTAGTAGTGGAGGTGTATACAATGCTGGGTCTTTTGGATAGGCATTATCTGAAGGAATAAGAGTCTAAGATGGACATAGAGTCCTATTTCGACCCAAATGGATGTAAAAAACGATTATAAAAGAAGTCAATAATGATGTGGAAAAGGATTCAACCTTTTTTCACTTTGCTTTGTGCCTTCCTTCCTTGTTATTGATCCTAGTTCTAACTTAGGCATTGGAGGGGCTTTTCCGACACATACTCGCCAGTTAGTTCACCACTACTATTTTGTAGAGGCTCAAAAGAAGGTTTCGATCATGTATTGCTCACGTGTGGAGAAATCTGTGTCCGTACAATGAGAATCCCAATATTGATAAAAAGACCATTCCATTCTATTCAATTTCAGTGAACCAAACACTATCTTTAAGTAAAAAGCCAAAAAAGAGAAGATTTGTGGGGTCAATGTGTTGTATCTCTATGTGTATGTGATTCCATGGATAGATGATGCCTGTTAGTGATTTCATGGTCATAGATGATATTTAAACTTTGTCGGATGTGTTAAGGAAAAAAAAAATGGAGATGATACTTTGCTGTCAAATACTTTTTCTTTCTAGAAATTACAATTTGTTTAAACTTGATAAGAAACACTTTCAAATTATACAAACTAATTTGCTAGTTAACCATTGACATAATGATATATATATTTTGAAGATTGTTCACTTGAGTTTATAATTACTCTTTTAATTGTATTTTTTCTATGACATATTTAGATAGTTCTTCTTCTTTTCTTTTCTTTTTTTATTTTATTTTATTTTTTTATAATTGAGACTTTTAAGTCCAAAATATGCAATCTCGTTGAGAACCGTTGTAATATTTTATGTCTTGCAAGTTTTTTTTGTCAAAATGTTAATATCAATATATTTCAGTTCACTTTTATATATGATTTTTTAATAAAGTTGGTAAAGTTTATTTTAACGAATAATACCACAGATTAATTAAAACATGAATGATGCTGATGTTCTTAGCTTTAGATTAAACTTTGGGTTGTAGATGAGCAGCTTGAGCAGATATTCAATCAGCACTGATGATCAAGGCCCCTAATCTAAGTAATCACACAAAAGATTAACGTGTACCAAAAAAAATATAAATTTGCAGTTCACATAAATAAGGTGGCATCACATTTGTGCTTCCTTTCCGTTCTCTTTCCTAAGGCATCAAGGGAAAGCAAATTCATCCATTCTGCTACCCTACCAAGCAGCTATGAATGAATACATCAAACAAACTATATATATACTACCACATATGGTACCACCATTACTATAGTTTAATACCTCAGAATCAAAGTTTAGTGTGGCCCACAGAACCCAAACCTAGTACTTAGAGTAGTAGAGTGTGAGAACAAATGTACCCCACCTAAGGGAGAATGTATTGCATTGTCATTAAAGGAGTATAGAAACTTACATGCAGTCCTAATGCCCCCTTCATTACCATACAACGCAATGCAGCTTCAGATGGGTACAGGATAAGTTTTTTTTCTGTGATGGAGCTGGCTATGTCCCTCAGCTGGAGCCTACCAATAGTCATAGACTGTTCAGGGGAGAGGCATTTAAAGACAATCACATCATCCAGTTTCTCAAACAACTCAGGTTTGAAATATCTTCTTGCCTGTATAATGTGAGACGCAGAGAGTATCAGAATAATTTGGTTAAACAACATATACACAATTTAAAATGACATCCTAGATGTGTTCCTGGAAACCAAAAAGCAAAAGAAAACTACTACAGAGTGAGGAAAAAGCAATGTGTGATCGCATTATTTTCGAATCTGGGCCACATTATTTTTATAGGTGAATTTCCGATAACAAGTTCTGGGTCTGTAGCTTTACTGAAAGCATAAATCTCTTTCTTTCTACTAAACTCACCTCTCTCAAAAGAGAAGGATAGATGCATCGATGTTTCTGTTCCCATCGATCACTATACAAGTTGTCTTTCACAGGGCAATCTTGAGACCTCCATATACAGTCGCAGCCCCACAATCGGAAGTTACCATCTATAGCATTCGATGTCAAGACAATCAATGTTTTGGTGAAATCAACAGAGTTTCCTTGGTCAACTAATACTCTACCATGACTTAAAATTTCGATCAGAACATCAACAACAGCAGGATGAGCCATATCAACATTGTCAAACAAGATGACGCTGTATGGCCTCCTCCTCACAGCTTCTGTAAGCATTCCTTCCACGCCACATTCTTTGTAACTATTGGATCAAAAACCAACATAGAACAATAGACAATTAGCAACTAAGATAAAAATTCAGTAAAAATAACTCAAAGAGAACAGCCTAAAAATGATAAACCTGGAGGGAACACCAATCAGTCGTGAGACGGAATCAGAATCCATGTACTCTGACATGTCAAATTCTGTGAGCAAGTCACTATTATCAAAAATTTGTTTTGCAAGAGCTTTTGCGTGCTCTGTCCTTCCCATTCCAGAGCCATATAGGAAGAGAAACGAGCCAACAGGTCGAGGCCCAGATCTTTGCCTCAACAAGGCATTGCTAATCAGAAATCTAACATGATCTTGTCCAATTAGCCTCTCAGCTAATCTTGATTCCAGGCCCTGCAAAGGAGGCTCTGAACATCGAAGGAGCCATGAAGCTGGAACCCCAGTCAAGGGGCCTGCTACCTGCACCACCAGTCATCAAAAATAGAAGAAAATTATCATCAGACAACAAAATTAACTGCCCAAAGAACAACTCATAGCTCTAAGCACACTAGTTCGCACCTCTGCCACTAAACGTGGAGTAACAGTCAGGTTTTCCTTGAGATTTTCATGAGTTGATAGTAGAAGCTCAGAAATAAGAGAACTAAGAGATTGAGCAACCCCAAAGATGGGTTTCATTTTAGTCTTGTTATTGGGTTCAGCTTCCTGTAATGAAGAAACTAGCCCATGGCGCAGTTGTTCTAACATGTATAGCTCTTCAGCTCTCCTTGTAGACCGTGTCCTCGACATCATTATTGGCTTTGACTTTCTCGTAAACCTATCCCACTTATCCATCAAATCTTCATATTCCTTTTGTACCTGAAGCAGTTAGATAAAAACAATTACAACTATAATACACATTAGCCATATTCATGGTCTACACTATGTTTAGGAACCTAAGAGAGAAAAGAAAAGAAAAGATTACTTAAACTATAAGAGAAAAGAAAAAAAAAGAAATAGTTGTGATTTATCTCCTTCTTGTTTGGTTAGATTTCATAAGAGAAAAGAAAAGAAACTGTTTTATGTTATATTACCAAAAACGTTGTGGTCGATATGAAAAGCACTTGAAGACATGGGTGTCAATCATTTTATTTATTTTATTTTTATAGGGACAAAATTAGTATCATGAAAATATAAAAATCTGTTGGTTTCTTTTCTCTCCAATCTCTCCACTTTTAGAAAGATTGAAAATAAAAATTATAAGAGAAATGGGTTTCTCCCCATTTAGGAGTTGTTTGGGATGACCTAAATAATTGTACTTTTTGTCTTTTTACGAAAAGATGTGCAGAAAAGTAGAGAGGTGATGTAATGGAAAAAAGATAAAAAGATGGATTATTTTGGGTATGCCAAACTTGGCCTTAACACCACTTAAGTTATCTAAACAAGTAAACGAAATACATATCTCTCCATTTTTATTCTTTTATGTTCTCTCCAAATCACTCAATCCAAACATAGTGCTAGTCTTTTTAATGAAAAGACTTACAATGCATTATTAGGACCAAAATAGACTAATATCACAATTTAACTAATCGGTTCAGTACTCACACGAGGAACCCAAAACTTTTTCCCGTGGACCTTCTCCTTATTGATTTCTTCCAATTCAACAAGCGCACGACACAAGTAGTATTCATCCATACCCAATGCATCCTCCTCTGCATCAGTGTCGAGGTCATGCCTCAATCTCACACAGGCTTTCTCTACCAGCTCTGCCGCCTTCTCTCGGAGAAGCACCTCATGATTATTAGAACCCCCTTCTTCATTATCATTAGCCAATAAAACTGTAAAACAATAATAAATACAAATACATTATCAACCATTATTCAACAACAAAAACAACAACAAGAGGTTTTAGTTTCAGAGAATTTAAAAGCAATCAATAAGGACCAATAAAAACAACAAACCATTGGAATATCTTAGGGCAATCACACAAGCTAGAAACAGAGCTTCCGGGTGAATTTCAACACCATGAGCCGTCTCCAACTTATCCTTGCACTCAACTTCAACATGCCTCCGAATTTCAGTCATCAATGGCTCCAAATCCATACCTACAAAACCCTTTACATTCAAAAATTAACAACCACAAAACACCAACCTTCAATTATTACATAAACAAAACATCGAGTTGATAATGCAATTTTTTGGTACACAATATACATATAAATAGAGGGCAAATCAAAATGAAGCTCCAACAAAAAAGGTATTCAGATCGAAAAAAACCCTAACCTATCGCTTGAACTTGAAGATGAATCGATTTCCTACGTTTCGCGTTAAGGGAGAAGGAGAAAGAGAAAGAGAAAGAGGAAGAGGGAAGGAAAACCCCGCGCAGTGAAATCTGCTATGATTCCGAATGTTTTTAGGAAAATTTACCCATAAGTACTAGTTTTTGAAACGTTGAACCATTTAGTCCTAAAAGTTTTCTTATGCTTCATTTAGTCTAATTTTTACATCAATATGATGTGAATGATGTAAATGATCTGATGTTTCATTCTATAATTTCAAAATTTATTGAAATCTGATGAACATTAGATGTTTTTCATCCTATATTTTCAAACATTATTGAAATTTGATGAACATTAGATGTTTGAAATTCAATTTTTGTAACATGACTCTGATGTTATTAACATTGTATCTGATGTTATTAACATTATAATGGGACCTTTCAGTCTATAAGAAAACTTTTAGGACTAAACAGTGCATAAGTTATTAATTTGGGATTTATTGGTGCATCCCCATGTTTTTATTTATTTATAATAATAGGATTGAGAGGTGTTTGGGTTTGGCAAGTCCACGATTTTTATTTTTTATTTATTTATTAGGATTGGGAGACTGCTTGGATTTGGTATATCTATTTTAAAATTAATTTATGTGATATAAATTATTTATTTTTAGGATTCCAAAATAATTGTGTAAAAAATTAAAATAATCAGATATTAATAATTATGTATTTAAATTAAATTTGTATTATAAAAAATAAAGAGTTATTTTAGAAATTATATTTGTTGTTTATTTTTTTAAAAAATAAATATGACTTAAACATATAAATATCCTATTATCTTAATTTTTTTGTATGAATATTTTACTCAACGAGTCCTAAAAAATGAACAGTTCAAATCACCGAAATCGATTCCAAACATTCTCTCAAATTGATATTATAACTTGAGAGAAACCAAACCCTTTTTATGATAAGAGATTGGAAAGTGTTTTGTGTTTAACCGTATTTATTAGGTAAATCTTATTTAAGAGTGTAGAGAGGTAGAATATTAAGGGTTAACCTAATTGCTAAGATCTCCTTGATTAGATGAACAAATATGATTGAATATGGGTGAAAACCTAAGAGAAATGGGACAACTAGAAGGTCGAACTAGATCCGATCGAGCCCTCAGTAGTGAAAGTACCTAAGGAAACCTGAAGTGCTACTTGCCGTGGGCCAGTGGCTGAGGTAATCCACTTCAATGCTGTTATCTCACTAGAAAATTTCTCAACAACAAAATTCATCCATCCCATGGATATCTTAACAACATAACAACATGTGAAAGTTCATCATTATCTCAAAGAAAATCCCAACATTTGCATAAGTCTTTCACAAAATCCACTTCTTACCAATTTTAAAAAATCTAGGGTTTGATCACAAAGAGAATTTCTCTCATTTTCAAAAGATATTTGCCCCAATGTACCTCCAAGAATCTCATAAGTTCATAAAACAAATCAATTTGAGTAATATCATAAGAAAATTACTTTTTCAACATTTTCAAAACTTAATACCTCAAATCCCAAACCTTCAACATAATAATCACATCAAAATAGACAAAGACATGCTAGAATCATATATATATATATATATATAACTCTAAGAAACTCTCTACCTTAAGCTTGGAGAATAAAGAATGAGAAAAGGCTTATAAGAGTTTCGATTTTGACCCGACCTTTTTCTTGCTCTTAGATATGAGATTCTATACCTTTAATTGTTGTTTGTACCCTTTCCATTCTTGTTGTTAGTTGAGTTTGGTCATTGGGAGTTATTGGTTGTGTTTGAAACAGGTTAGGAGTTAGTTTTTCAATAAAGTTGTTATCTGTTTCATTTCTGGTTCACTCGAGTGATGCTTTTGTCGCTCGAGTGGTCTTTGAGATCTCTCAGCATTTTTGCAAGCCTGTAAAACTTATGCGAATGGGTGATCTTCACTCGAGCAGTCTTTTGCAGATCTGAACTTCTAGGAAGCGGTCATTGTGCGCTCGAGTGGTGTTTTGGTTGCTCGAGTTGTGTCACTTATTGTGTCTTACACTTGAGTAGTGGTTTGATTGCTCGAACGGTTTGTGTGCATATCAGTTCAGGAAAAAAAGGGTTTTGTCACTTTTTCATTTATTCTCTCTCTTTCTGAAACACTTCTAACGCTAATTTCTTCACTCCCTTTCTGTTGTTCTCGCTTTAAAACCTTAAATACACCCTCACCCATTGATTTCTCCATCATAGCTCCTTGGAGAAAATGAGATGTATACCTTAGTGAATCTGGTTAGGGGGTGCGGTTGTGGTTTATTATGTTGGCCTGTGTGTCCTTGGTGAAAGTCCAGAAACTCGTGCAGTTAAGTGCTGATCCTTTTGGTTAGTACCGGTAAAATGATTTTGGTAATGCTTGTATAGTCTACTGGTAGACACATACCTAGAGATTCCTAGTGTTTTGTATCCACTGCCCTATTTTCTAATACAACCCAGTGTTTTGTATCCACCGTCCTATTTTCTAATATAAACTAATATTTTCATGAATTGATACATAATATTGGCATTGCATCGTTTTGAGATGGAAAAGTATGATGTTTGGTAAATGGCATGCATATGCATACACCATATGACTTTGTTAAGTTTTATATATTGTGTTTAAATATCTCTATTGGGTTGTAACTCACCCTATGTGGAAAACAACTTTCAGGTGTTGATAATATCCCTCCACCAAGAACATAACTTGGGAGGACTTGGAGCCTAGAGCTTCCTTTTGTTTCTTTTGTGTAATTATTTTTGTATAAGCCTTAGGCTTTCTATGTATTGAGTTTAATTCACTTTTGTTGTAACCAAGCAATGACTTGGAAGGATGTAGCCATTGGCGCATAACCTTACTTGTACTTCATTTTATTTCAATTCATTTACACATGTCATATGCTATAGATTCAGGGTCTAGGATTTATGAATGTATGCATGCATATGTCATCTTTTGTACACAGAAATAGAAGTAATGCAAGGTTGAAATTTTATAATTTTCTGCTCTTCCATTGGTTATCATGAGGTAGATAATTGTTATTTTTGTGAGGCATTACAAGCTTCAAAAATCAACGGTGTCGAAATCTGATCTCCACCGTACATGTCGTAACCCATGATGAGCTCTCCAAAATTGATGAGACACTAGGGTCAAATCTCTAATGAATTTGGAGAGATTAAGACTTTAAGCGGGTTGATGGGTGGTTTTCTAGAGAGAGAGATAAGAAAAAAGAGAGTAGAGTGAAGTGTAAAGACAGAGAGTGATGAAAAGTGAAGAAAAATTTATTGCCTTAGATTTTTAAGTGAGCGGAGACATTTCACGAAGCTGACTCTAGGTAGTGTGACAACCCTCACCTCTGATTAGTGCTAAATTGTGACTGAGCATGACAAGTAATTGATTATGGCAAAATTCTGAATTGATTGCATAAGTGTATTACCTTAATTGCATTTCTATCTGTTTGTCGTAGATTGGTCTGTTCGTGTTTTTAATTTCGAACTACGAATTGAAGATCTTATCGACGACCGAATCTGAAATTGATTAGCGTTATATGCTAATTAGAATTTATGTGATTTTATGGTAGGTTTGATGAAAATTTGATTTGGAATGATTAATTAGATTAAATAATGTTATATTGCATTAGTTTGGCTTTATTACCAAATTGCCATTGAGTGGCCATTTCCTACAAACTTTGTTTGGACTTAATGGTTGTATTTCATATCATCTCCTCAGCCTTTTCTAGACCAAAACCGTATGAGAGAGGGAGAGTAGGAGAAGAAGGTTGAATTCACCTAGATTTTGCTTGAACTTAGAAGATTTGAAGGTTAATTGCAAAATTGAGCTAGTACACTTGAGGTTCAAGACCTAGGTAAGGAATTCATTCTCTCAATTGTGAATTTAAGTTGTATCTTGCATGGATCATGGAATTTGGTTATTAGAGTCATGAATTGGCTTAAAGAGTTGATTTGAGTAGCTAATTCATGCATGCATGTACATATTCTTGAATTTGAGGTTGTTTTCATGAGAATTTCAGCATGCATGTCCACATCTTGGTTGTAGTCTATGAATTCACCATGTTTTGGAGTTCAAACTTGCATTTGGTTACATTTTGGAGCATTGGAATTCATTAGAACACTTGCATGTTATGTTCTTGCTTAGTTCATAGAAGTTTCTTCCAAATTGTGTTTAATTGGCTTACCTTTGGGCTTGATTTTACAAAATTGATCTTCGAAACATGTTGTAGTATGAGTTCTCAAGTGTTTTCTAGAAAATGTGCTCAAAAGGTTGAGTTTTGATGTGTTGAATGCTTGGTTTGAGCTTGGAAGGCAAATCTGGAAATTTCAGATTTTGGCTTCCACGCTCGAGCGAAGGATTCCACGGTTGAGCGACCATCTTTTGTTCAGAGGTCTGCTCGAGCGACGGAATGTTGGCTCAAGCGTGAATTGCAAGCTCTCAAGTTTTTGGTGCATGCAGACGCACGCTCGAGCGACGAGACCTACGCTCGAGCGAAGGATGTGTCTCACGCTCGAGCGAGCATCGAGCGGAGATTTTCAACAACCAGTACTTTTGCATTTCTACAGACTGCTCGAGCAAAGGAGTTTATGCTCGAGCGACCCCTCTGTTTTGATAAGCTCGCTCGAGCAAAGAAAGCCACGCTCGAGCGAGATCCTTGTTTTCAACAAATTTTGAAAAGTGTTTTAACGTACATTTTTGCATCCTCATTTCATCCTAGGCATTCCTATGCCATAATTAAGGCATCTTAATGAGGATAATGTTATAGAACCACACCAAGTATAAATAGGGGCTAAGTTATTAATCCCGAGTGTGTGTTTGTTCTGCAACTGTAGGGTTGGCATCCGAGGACGCTCGTTAGCTTGTCTATAGCCCAGTGCTCTGTGAGTAACAATGTTGTAAAGATATGTTCAATTATGATTATTTTCTGAATGATCAACTGTACTGCTTACTGAAATGTAATCGTTTAATGAATGAATGTTTGTCCTATTTGTAAACTGTATTCGTGGCATCCATAGCAACTTACTGTTACTGTACTGTTACTGCTACTGTCACAGAAATCTCTGCCGGTTCCAATATTTGGAACTACTACTGTTACTGT